GGGTAAGGTAGGGGTAGGGTAGGGGTAGGGTAGGGTAGGGGTAGGGATGTAATTTACAGAATTATACCTGGACGAAGTCAGGGCGGGCCGCTAGTTATAAATATAGTGCAGTGGAGTTGTAAGAGCTGAGGCACAAGCAGATATGAAAATGGGGGGAATGCCGTCTGGACCTGCTCCCTTGTTTATGTTCAAATATTTCAGTTTTTTATACAAACTATCGTGATCAATAGTAGGAATTGTTAAACATTGGCCATTAATTTGTAACGAATTCAGTAGGGAGGAGTCTAAATTGATGTTCATATTTTCATCATCAGTGGCGTACACTGATGAGAAATGATCAGCAAAGAGATCACAGATGATTGAGGGATCGGATGTTGTTACGTGCCCATTAGACATAGTTAACGGATAAGCGCTGGAGCCACCGCGTCTATCTTTTATATATTTCCAGAAAATTTTTGGGTTTGTTTTTATTTCATCCTCTAGAGTTTTTGTGTAATTTGAGTACAGAGTTTTGGCTAATTTCTGGCACCGCTGGGTAATGAGTTTTAACTCTAATTCGTCCAATGGATTTTTATATTTCTTGTATCGTAACCTTATTTTATGTTTCTCTTTAAGTGCCCTAATAATATTTTTGTTAAACCATGTAGGATACCGATTATTTAATGTCTTACAATTGGGCACGAATTTCTGGATGGCATCCTTTAGGATATCATAAAATATGTTGAGCATGTCGTTAAGATTGACGGCTTCAGCAAAGAGCCGATGCCAATTTTGCTTATTTAAATAATTGTTAATTTGCTCGTAATCCGCTTTATAAAAGTTCGGTCTCGTAGTCTGGCTGTTGTATGACAGGCTATTTTCTTTCGGAAATGATAAAGTTATATCCAGGGGGGGATGCAATACATCGATGATGGTTAAAGGACAGATGGATTCCGATACTAAACAGGATGACGCGCTGGTCAGAACCAGATCAAGTATACGCCCTGAGCAGTTCTTTACATTATTGCATTGAGTCAGTTTATTTACATTCAAGAAGTCAAGCAGTCGTAGACATGCTCTTGGTAAGAAATATGTACCTGGATCCGAATGCCAGTCTAATAAAGTCTTTAATTTCTGGATGTCTATTTGTTTTGTAACAAATTGATGTGATTTTTTTATTGAGTGGATAGTTGAAAGGATTGACAATAGCATAGGCTACATTTTGTTTCTTTCTAACCCACCACTTCCCTAAAATAGGGGGTGGAAGTTGATATGGACTATTTCGTAATTTTTAAGAAACCTAAAATTGGTATCATATTTGTGACCAGCAAAAAAACATCGGGAACCAATTCCTTTTTGTCTTTTGTAAACCTGTCCCAATACTTTTAAAGAGCGCGAGCGAAACCATGGGTAGAAGCTAGTCCACGAATAAAATGTATTTCGTTGAATAAATTGAATTCTTATTTTTTCTATAAATTCCCTGACTCTGATGCAGCCAAATACTATTATTAGTCCTTGAAAACAGTTTCCTATGGGCAGTCATAGGCTTAAGCAATATAAGGAGATTTGAAGGTGTAGTGCTTATATTCCCTGCACGGTTGGCGTGGCGGCCGTGCAACTGGCTGACGCGCAACATGTCGCGGGTTCGTTTCCCGCGCACGGAACAATTCTTTGTGTAATCCACAGATTGTTGTTCTGGGTCTGTGTGTCATGTGTATGTGAATTTGTATGTTTGTAAATGGACTCACGATACAGGAGAATATCCTAGTGTAACGATTTATATTAAACAATAAAACAATTCATAGACGATCCTATTGAATTTCTTACGATGTGAGTAATAATAAGTACATATAGAGTAATAGGGTCGATGCCTAACTTTTATTTTAATGTCCGTTTGGTAGATTATTTTAAATCATTAGACACGTATTTTTTATTCTCTTACATAAACAAATACTTTCAACGATATATTGATTTAAAATTTCGCGTGACGTCACTTCTATGTATATTTTATACGTAGAAATGACGTTTCGCTCCCACTTTTAAACTTTGGTTCGTTTTATCTAAGTATTGTTTTATTATAAAAGAAAATAAAAAAATATATGTTTAATATTTTTTTTCATTACCTAATTTACGGACTAATAAATTGACTAATTTTTAATTTTCATACCCTGTCATCATCCAAATTATATTTATATACTAGCTTCTGCCAGCGGCTTTGCCCGCGTTCCCAGGGATAAAAAGTGGCATATATGTTATTCTGAACATATTCTACCTCTGTTCCAAATTTCATCCCGGTCCCTTCAGCCGTTTATATGTGACTGAGTAACAAACATAGGTATACATAAACACAAAAATTCACATGTATAATATCGATTTCAACGAACTAATTGTAGTTTGCAACCATCGGCCCTACTATGACAACGTGAAGTCCACGGCGGGCAACCAAATATCCGAAAAACTTATATTGGTCGTTTGGTCCAGACTGACAGACTGGCATACCGTATGTCCGTATACATATGTACGTAGTACATACAGACATACGGACATACGGACAGACGGACAGAATACTATATTTTTATATTTTCAATGTATGGAATTTATACTAAAAGCGAATATCTACTAAAAGCGGTATGCGACATGATTATATTAAAATATATTGTTTATTTGGTAATTGACTCGAAGGTTATGGCAATTAAAAACATATTATCTACTATTTTTGTGTTGCATACTGATTGGTCTTATCGTAGTAGCATTTTCTTTCGGCAATTTCTGTAATGACCTTTGATGATCATTAACGATTTTAATATCAGTGATCGAGGCCATTGGATACTTTATCTTTTTGTATCTGATAATCAGAGTAGACACAGATGCCAATAAAAACAAAGGAATTTGCACATTTTCTACAGTGAGGAGACAGTTAATCGAGCAACATGTTGAAGTTGTTAATAATTTTTTTGGCTGCAGTGGCAGGTAAGACAAATTTTCTGCAATGTTAGTCGACATTACCATTGACTTACTTTAAAAAAGAATTTCTTGTTTATTATTATTGTTCCGCCGTTACTTTTCCAAATACGAGTACATTTTCAAAATTTTCGCTGTCGTATTATAACCCTATCGGGTTCGCCCGCCCAGTCCAGAAGTCTGCTGCGGGCGACAGTCACTCCAACCCTATCACCCCCGCTAGGGAGACTGTTGCCCGCACCCAGGGTGCACCACGGGGAGATCTTCTGGCACCGCAAGCCCGCCCTAACCTAATCTTTTAAAAAAAAATCTAACCTAACCTATATTCGTCACCGACTTTCATTTTTCCAAACCGTAACGATAAACGTAAGACAAACAGAATAAATACAACAAACAGCACAAACTAATGAAACTAACTAAATAAAGAACAAAGTCGAATCTTTGAGGTTATGTTTTTTTATATTTGTTTACCGGCACTGGAACCCAGCCTTTTGCGCATTGTCACCGGCTGCCATTTTGAGTGCCGGCGCCGGCAGCCGTTGTTTTAAATCTCGGCTGCCGGCAGTATACAATTACCGCCGGTTTCCAATAGTGATATTTTTGGCAACCGGCGCCGGCAGCGGAGGCACTCCCTATTTTTTATGTTACATAACTGTTGTAATAAGGTAAATATTATAATCTTAAGTTAAATAATATAAGTAGCGCCATCTAGTGTCAAGTTGGCGAGTTTCTCATAGATGTCGATATGTCATCTGTGTTCTTCCCTTTTGTCGTCTGCATGGCGCCCATCATGTGCTTTCTGTGTGATTTATAATAAAACTACGAAATACAACAAGCTATTATCTATTATTCAACCACATCCACCACTTTAACAATAACATTTTGAGATTTGACTAGACAGTAAGCAAAAGTAGTTTTCTTAAAAAAAAAATGACGGTTTGCTCTCCGGGAGTGTAGGTAGAAGTGAAAACTTAAGTATTAACGTTGTGCGTTTTGAATATTTTGGAATGGTTATGGAATAGTTTTGCACTTTTGCTTTAATAATCAGAATAAAAGTACTATCTTTTATGCATACAATATTAATTTATTGCGCTATCGTACACAAACATGACAATTTATATTACATTTAAAACTAGAAAAATCAACTTTCATCCATAATTTCGATGACTTTTTCACTATCATTATTACCAGAACCATCATTACCAATCTCTAAAACTGATACGATCGTTTTATAATAGCTGAAGTAAGAAACGAACAGTTTTGATTCGAACCTATTTAAATGTCTAATATAGATCGCATCAATAGCAGTTTTGTATTTCGTCGTGGCAATAATGGCGATCATTTGACATAGTTAAACCAAATTCATTATTTAAGAATTCAATAAAAAATATAAAAACACGAACATTCGCGCAAGCGCCCTGCTCTCCACCCGTCTTACGAATTTTATCACATATCCTGACGCGAGTCCTGACGAGAGTTTAACATTTTGTAACCATTACAAAAAAATTGGTATTTTTTTTTTTTAAGGGGGGCAAATCATCGAATGACTGCTCCCGCCTGGGTGAGGCGGGAGGGAGTGTCAGACTCTTACTGACTAAAAACCACCCGTTCCTTCTCCTGCACGTCGAGCCGGAGCCCCGGTTACCCGTTAGGTTCTCCGCGACACAAAAAAAGGGTACAACGCCGCTAAAGAAGTTTTCACTTTAAAAATAATAATCACAAAGTTTAAACTTTTAACTCTTATTTCATTCCTTCTTAATAGTAGGGGAGACCATGAAGGGATTTCGGTAGTTACTCGAGCGCGTCAGATTAACATTATGGGGAAAAACTAGTGTCCTGTTGAATATACCCACCATATATCCGATCTGATTAGAAAGGGGGGACTAAAAATTTAAAAAAAAGTCCGACTAAATAAAGTTAGTTTCGTCAGATTAAGGGAAGGTAGGTCAATACCATGCTAAAGGAAGTGTATTTAAAAAATGTGCCCATTCCAACTTGATTTGCAAGAGTGGGGGGATTTTGAAGGGTTCTCGTTGGTACTCTCCAGATCATTCAACTCCACCATGCAAACTGGCAGATTAAGAGTTTTTTATTATCAAAGACACATGAAGCATGTACATTATCAATATCTGACACGCTCGACCACTAGAACAAAAGTTACGCGTAACAGATTCAAAGATCTGTGGATTCCCCCTTCCCCCACCGGTGTAAGAAATTGTCACTAAACCATTTTTTCTTTCTATCACCATATTTTTAAAATCCAGTAAGTTCCAACGACGCTCGAGTAAATCCAAATTTAGCATCGTGGGCTCCCCTACTATAAGTTTTCCTAAAACATGTTACCTACGTGTTTGTGATTATAATCATTAGCCTAAATACATTCAAAATGTATGCAACACATTTTGTGGATTTTCTTTGTAAAATATTATTAAAACATAAGAATTACAAATTCATACACAAAGTTAGATAGGGTAAGAGAAAACGGTACTAAAGTAAAAGGGTAGGTAATACAAAATTAAAGCAAGACAATAATAATATATCAAGAGGGTACCTAAGCGATACAAAAACAAGATGGTAGGTAGGTCACATCAAGTCACAACGAAAATATTTTCAATAGTAAGTCAGTAAAATACAAATACGCTGAACAAAATTTTAATAAGCTAACTATCAAATTAAGAAAATGAAGAACGAAACTCTGCAAATAGTACAAAACACCGATTATGGTACCTATTCCGTGCTACGAAAGTACCACGTGCTTAAAGCAGAGTGCTCAACTTGCTAGGGAGTAGTTCTATTATATTGTTCATCCACACATACATGTTGTTCCACTTTTGGATAAATATCCGAACGGAAAACGTCCGGCTGATGATGATATTTTGTATTATTGAAATTATGACGTCACATAGTTTCCCCATTTTCAAAATTAATTTAAGAAAACATATATTCTGAATAGAAATTTAGATAACACTTAGATATATTTATGAATTAGTAGGTTTTGCTCATTTAAGAATACATAAGAATTAAATTCAGTCAATTAATAAAAGTTACAGACTATGAGTACTTACTATAATTTCAATGTCATATAATGAAATTCATCGGTAATACAATAAAATGTAAACTTCACTAACATACCTCTAACATAACATCACGCCTCTTGCCTCCGAAGGGGTAGACAGAGGTGCACATTACGGCACTTAATGCCACTGTACAATGTAACACCCACTTTCACTATTTATGTTATGAGTCCCGTATAATAGGGGGAGGGCCCATTGCACAATCCCAGACTACGTGCTGCTACTGAGATTTTTTTTTAAACCCAGTATTACTTTGTCCAACCCGAGAATCGAACCCGAGACCCCTTAGTTAATTACCTGCACTAATTAATTAAGTTTTTGACAGGCAGAAACAATGTTTAAACACTTTGTGTAAATTATGATGTTTATTTTTTTAGCATGCTGTGGACAGGTGCCAAACATGAGAGTATCGTATACCCTGTTCAAAAAGTAAGTACTCACGTTAGTTACATATAATAATTAAACACAAAATATTTAGGTATAAAAAACTTCTTGCCATATAAATATCTATTTTATCTATTAAAAGTAATTTAAACTGTCAAACACCAAGCGGTCACCGGTGACCGCAACCTATTGTTCTAAGAAATAACACAAAAGAAATGTGATGTCACAAAAGGGGGCTGCTGAGCGGGACCGTGAGAAGGCAGATCGTGCTAGTAAAAAGGACGCGCGTCTCTCTAGGGATGTGCTGTAACATGCATTGCACTGTGAGGATTTCGGGGCAGGTCTGTTAGAGGACCCGATTCCCCGTACAGGTACTGGAACGGCCACCAGTGTGGTTTTAGTGAGGTAAAAATCCCACACCCTCTAGTCTTTCTCCCGAAAATCCCAAAAAGGCGCCTTTTCAAAGTTTCTCTTGTCATAAAAAAAGAGACATGTAGCAGTTCGAATTTGAAAATTTTATTTTTTTTATTTTATATTTTCATTGAAATAGTTAGTTGTGTTTTTACCTCTGCAGACTAAAACTACTTGTAGTTTTATTTCACCTATGTGACTGATTTCCATACTGTATGTTTATGAGAAGAATCATTAACTCGTCGAGTACCGGTTTTAATAATTTTAAAATAAAATAAAAAAAATAAAATTTTCAAATTTGAACTGCTACATGTCTCTTTTTTTATGACAAGAGAAACCAACCACTCTGAGGCCCAAGCTGGACACTTCTCGAGCGTGTACTGCGCAGAATTCAGTTTACCTCCACAGTGGTAGCAATTTACCGTGGTCTCTTGCGGCATCCTGCTCAGGTACTCACCGAAACAACCATGCACGGTCAGAACTTAATTGAGCCTGAAGGAGACGCGCGAGCCTAAAGGCAACGCGCTTGCGTGACATCTCCGGCTATTGTAGCTGCTCACGCCACCTCTCGAGCGCGTGTCGCCTTTCTTACAATCTCAGCCTAACGATCACCACTCCTGGCACCCTACCACCGCCGCCGTTTTGACGAACAGCGCGGATTTGGATATAGACCTTCGTACCCATTTCCGCCAGGTTATCCAGCGGCAAAAAACGAACCAGGAGATTTGCTGCCTCAAAGAACACCGTTCGGTACCCTCGTAATATATGGATGGCCATTTTCCGCTGGAAACGATAGATTTTCCTTCTGCAACGTCGGATTCTTGTCTTGACACTCTAGCTGCTCAAACAGTCGGCCCGTAAAGAGTCATCAAACACACGACACCCGCATAGAGGCAGCAAACTTCTTTTCGAGATCTCCCAATGGTAGGCAGCAGCCTTTTCGAATCGGGGGACCGGAAATCCAGAAAGTCCAAGGTTAGGCCTAAATACCTTATGTATCGGTTTACCTGAACTTGCGGATTTCCAGCATATACCGATGAACTGGGCGGCTCCCCAGTTCTCGGCAGCTTATGGAACCATGGTGCCTCAATTTTTAGAGGTGCTATTTCCAGACCCAGTCCGCGAATTGAGGCTACGACTTTTGCCACCTCGAGCTCAGAAAGCCGAATGGTCTCCTCAAAGTTACTCCCGCTGGTCATTACCAGAACGTCATTTGTGTAGCAAATCATATGAACACCAGCGGGAACTTCAACCTGCAGGATCTTGACTGCAGAAGAGCTAAAATTTTGTAAATTGTATAGGAGTACTACTCTGTCAAGAAAGTACCGGGAACAGATCAATAATACACAAAATATCCGTTATTTATCCAAATTTATTTTATCCCCTAAAAAGTATGCTCCTTGAGAAACGATACACATGCGCCAATATTTTTTAAATGCTGCTTCCGGAATAGAGTTCAGTTCTCGCCGCGAATTCTCCTTTATATCTTCTATCGATTGAAAACGGGTGTCACGAAGTGGTAATTTGAATTTAGGAAAAAGAAAAAAGTCAGCAGGAGCCATATCTGGTGAATATGGTGGTTGTTGGATGGTATTTGTTTTGTCAAAAATTCTCTGGTTTCGGTTCAGTTGGAAGGCGGCACTCTGAAGAAAGAAGAAATGATTAGTTAAAATGGTACGGATCTACTCGTGAGATACAGAAAGTTCGGCGGCTATCTCTCTCAGAGTTGAATGGGGATTTTCAGTCACTATTTCCTTCACTTTTGCGATGTTAACTTCAGTTGCAGACGTTGACGGCCTACCAGAGCAAGACAAATCTTCCATCACATCTCGACCGCTTTTGACCACTCATAAGCACGAGTTTTTAATAAAGTCGATTCACCGTAAGCCTTCTGTAACATATTCAGTGACTCCGAACACAAAATTCCATTGGCGATGCAAAATTTAAGACAAACTCTTTGTTCGATATTTTTGTCCATTATGAAATTCGCAATACACATTTTAGATTATATTACTAAAACCAGCACTGTATTTAATAATATAAATAACAGATGCAACTCAAACTCCGCGCAAAAAACAAAAATTTGAATTTGGAACCATAAACAAATCATCTATTCCCGATACTTTTTTGACTGAATGTATTTAGAAAGGATGTTTAAATTATCTCGACGGCTCTTTTTGGTCAAACAACTGGGCCTATTTTCGTATGTGCATTATGCAATATGGTTAATGTTTTTAAAATAATACTGCGTATATATTCATTTTAACATGTAAACATTTCTTTTCAAGGAATAACCAATTTATAGGTACGACTATTACTGAATCCGTACCTGGAATTTTCAATTCAACACAAGATACAATATTCTTAATACACGGCTACGCAGGTAACACAGTTGTAAGGTTCAACCAATTAGTCCGGGACGGTGAGTACATTCATAAATATATATTTATTTGTATCTAAACATAGTAATAAGGTATTATTACGGCGTCATCCATAAACACCTAGAGCATCAGAGGCGTCAAACTGTGTTACCGGGCTTTTGAGGACTAGGAATTTGAGTTTTCTTGGTGATTCAGGCATTGGGGTGATTGGGGAAGGAGGGACAGGGGGGGGGGGGGAATAATTGAGTCTCCGGTAACCTCAATCACATGACAAAACACAGTGTTGTTTTTTACGTCAGTTTTCTGTGAGGCCGTGGTATTACGCCGGTCGAGCCCATTCGTGCCGAAGAATGGCTCTCCCACACTTAGAAATTGCCTAAACCTACGCTTTTATATAGCTGCTAAGCTAGTAAACTATTCCTCGTCTTCGGGCACAAATTGGACTTTTGAATTAGTCTTTCCCTACAGTCAACAAATGTCATCAGAATCGATTTAGTACCTAGGTTATGAGGATTTGTAGAGGAATAAATTTAATTTCGAGGCTTAAAAAAATAAATCCGTAGGGGTTTAGTAACCACAAGATGGGCACTATATGTGAGGTTTCAGTGATAAAAACTATTCTATGTTTGCAAATCAATGTTGTACAAAATTTTATTCAAATAAGTTCGTTGGTTTAAAAGATAGAGAGTCCCAGACTTTAACGCATAGTTCCCGTTGCCGTAGGATTTTCGTAAAAAACTATCATAATTATTCGTTGTAGTATCTTCAGTTTGCATAAAAGTCAAACATATTACAAATACATCTAAATCACCCCAAGGATCACTCTCCCTGTTGATGAAAACTGTATGACAATCAGCCTCGTACTTTTCGTGTTAATCGTTGTCCAATATATAAAGAAGAGAAGAGATAGAAGAGAGAATAGGGTACTGACCGACTGACTTTAATTTCTTTTATTTGACGTTTAAATGTACTTGAAATTAATGATTTAGATTTTTTTTGGCTTTCATATATAGTCTGAAATGATGGCTATATTTATCATCACCCCTACTCTTCCCATGGATATCGTGAACAGTCTACTAAGTGTATATAATCATTGATAAGAGACCAGGCAGCAGTGATCTCTGATAAACCAGGACCTTTTAAATTGTAATTCACAACCTAACCGCCGTAAGACACACCAAAAAAACTCAAAACTGCAATTTAATAAGTTTTTTATATGCACATTTTGGTGAATTTTGAACCTGCTTATGAGTCAAATTAATTGAAACATTAAACCACGTCTACGCTAGACGAACCGAGCACGAGCGCAGCACGAGCCGAACACAAATTGTCTAGTGTGGATCGACTTTGATGTCAGTCACTCGCGCCGACCACCATGAGTTCGTTCGAGGACAGTGATCGTTATATGTTCGGCTCGTTTTCAGTTCGTCTAGCGTAGACTCGTGCTGTTGCTTTTGCCACTTCATATTTTTATTGTACCGGTGGCCGCCTTAAAAACTTTCTTCTTTAAAGTCCAATTTGTTAACGTTTAAATGTTTTCAGCTATTTTCGACTTCCGTAATCCAGATGATTACAACGTCATTGTGGTTGACTGGACACTAGAGGCGAGTTTCAGTTACACACAAGCGAGGAATAATGTGGGAAATGTTGCTCGCAACTTGGTCAATTTTATACAATGGTTAACATCAGATCCTACTACAACAACAACAACAACAACATCAATAACAACGACAACAACAGAACAACCTACAATGACAACAACAGCACAACCTGCAACAATTAATGTAGAAAATTTTCATTTTGTTGGGTTTGACCTTGGAGCACACGTTGCTGGTATAGCTGGTAGAATTCTTCAGGAAGACTCTCAATTGGTTGGTAGAATCACTGGTAAGTTTGATAACATAACTTTAAATAACGACCTCATTGTTCGAGTGCCCGCAAGCGCAACTACCAGTAAGTATGTATTCAAGAGCGATGGACTCATACCAGGGTTCTTACTCTTGAAACCAATCGCAATGTCAATGAAATTTCAATCTAATAAAATCTCAATAATTATTCAATGTCAAATCTATACAAACCCTATCGTAGCTGTTAAAACAGCATTCAGAGTACGAAATATAAAGCCAAACTCAATACCATTTAGTTCATTAAATATTCACGCTACACAAATGCAATTGGCGCTAGTGTTGCACTCAAGAGTACGAAATTTCACAATACCAATGTCGATCGATCGGAATTGGATTCAAGAGTAAGTCTCCTAATCTATGTGAGGAAGGGAATTTACAGTGGGCAAGTTGCGAGCAGAAGTGGGCACTTATAGACTGTCGTGCCGTCAATATTAGCATTAAGTCGATAAAAAGTATAAAATCAAATCAAATTAAATAGCTTTCTCTCTCAATTTACTGCTTACATTGTTATATGTTATCATAATCGAACCTGTTTAATGTGAACCAAAATCTTCACTGGGGTGACTGTATTATCTATATATCTATACTAATATTATAAAGAGGAAAACTTTGTTTGTTTGTTTGTTTGTTTGTTTGGTTGTAATGAATAGGCTCAAAAACTACTGGACCGATTTCAAAAATTCTTTCACTATTCGAAAGCTACATTATCCACGAGTAACATAGACTAAATTTTATTTTGGAAATAAATAGGGTTCCGTAATATATTTGGGTTTTTCGGACACAAGGTGTAAAAAATCAACCAGAAAAGTTACTTATTTTGCGTACGCTGCCTAAACTATAAAAGATAGAACTATGAAATGTTCTAATTAGTTGTAGATCTTATAAATATCTACAAAAAACTCCGCGACACACTATACCTATCTATGTCGAGTGAGGCACAACAACCATTTTTTAAATCAAAAATCTTGAATTTTTTTGGACTACTTTTAAACGCATTTATTTTACTCATTCTATTAATCCTTATCAAAATAATTTATTTCATCATTAAGTACAGTTAATGTAGATGATATTTGGTCTTTGAATGATTAAAATTGGATGTTTAGTTTCGAAGTTATGGCGAAATTAAAATATCACGATTTCTGCTGCACGGCCCGTTGCGAAGTGAGCGTCACCAAGGCGGGGGTGCGCGTGCGGGAGGGGAGTTGGACCGTACTTTAAAAGACCTACGAAGCTCTGCTAATGTCATGGGTGGTATCACTTTTGTATTTGCTGGAGATTTCCGACAAACGCTTCCAGTCGTCAACAGAGGTACGCGAGCAGATATTATGAAGGCATGTTTAAAATCGTCTCAACTTTGGACATCTGTGCAACATTTGAATTTGCGCACCAATATGAGAGCTCATCTATATGGAAATACGCATAGCAATTTTCCACAACAGCTGCTGAAACTTGGAGAAGGAATTTTTCCATCTTTAAATTTGGGCACCGATTATGCAGTTACTTTGGATGAGTCTCTAGGCCAAATAGTCCATAATTTAGATAATCTAATAGATGCTATATATCCTGACATCGAAAACTTACATCAAAATGATTTTCGTTGGCTGTGTTGTAGAGCAATAGTTTCTCCCAGAAATGAAACAGTCAACGAAATAAACAATTTAATTATGCAGAAAGTACCGGGTGAATTTAAGTGCTATAAATCCATAGACACCGTCACTAACATTGAGGACGCAGTGCACTACCCTCAGGAATTTTTAAATTCCCTGAACCCCGCTGGGCTACCACCTCATGAACTGTCGTTAAAAGTTGGCACGCCGATAATGCTTCTCAGAAACTTAAGCCCCCCCAACATGTGTAATGGCACGAGACTTCTTATAAACGAGCTAAAAGATAATTTAATAGTAGCGAAGATTATCACCGGCCCTGCAGCTGGTGAATTAGCTCATATACCAAGGATACCCATGATTCCTACTGATTTGCCTATACCCTTCAAAAGACTGCAATTTCCAGTCAAAATTTCTTTCGCACTAACGATAAACAAATCCCAGGGCCAAACATTCAAATTAGTAGGAATTGATTTAAGAAAAGAATGTTTTACGCATGGGCAACTTTACGTTGCTCTATCACGGGTCGGGACTCCCGACCATCAGTATATTTTGTTACCTGAAAATAATTTAACGTCAAATGTTGTTTATAGAGAAGCTCTACAATAATCACTTTAGGTAGGGGTAGGGGTAGGGTAGGGGTAGGGTAGGGGTAGGGTAGGGGTAAGGTAGGGGTAGGGTAGGGGTAGGGTAGGGTAGGGGTAGGGATGTAATTTACAGAATTATACCTGGACGAAGTCAGGGCGGGCCGCTAGTAGACAAATAATATTACAGAGGACAACACGTTAAAAGCATGAGATGTAATGTCCCTACTCATTTGGGTATTTTATAAACATTAAATATATTTACTAGAAAATAAATCAGCATTACCAAATGACGTGCGATTACGTGGACAATGGACATACATACAAAACTTCACGCCTGACTCCCATGGGGGTTGGCAGAGACTATGGAACGCCAATTGCTACAATTCCTACATACCTCTTTTGCTTTATCATCAGTCATCTTTAATTATTGTCATTTATTTACAATTATTCACAGATAATGGGCCTTAATTGTTTAAAATGATGATAAACCAAAGTTAAGTCAAGCTAAACATTACTGAAATAATTTTTTAGATGATTGTGTTGCTATGAGCAAAATTAATGCCCGTCTGTGATTTTTACTTTAACCAAAAAGAAATAAAATAAAAACACTTACAAAACCTAATCTAAATCTACTAAAGAAAAAATATGTAGTCGAAAAATAAGGCAAAACTAGGACACAAACATATTTTGGCCATTATATTTTATGAACATTTCATTTTAGGTTTGAGCCCATCAGGACGTCAGTGGGGTGCAGGTTCCGAACGCTTGAGACGAGATGATGCCAGATACGTTGAAGTAATTCATACGGACACTTTTGGTGTCCTTGCCAATGGTATCGAAGATCCTATTGGTGACATAAACTTTTACGCTAATGGAGGAAATAATCAACCAGGCTGCCTCACACACTCTTGTTGCCATGACCGCGCTTTCGAGCTGTTTGCAGCATCAATGATCAACCCCAATCTAATTGGACGTGGATGTACCTCAAACACACAGATGAACCTTAATTTATGCCGATCAGGTGAACTTAATTTAGGTGGCGTTGAATTATCCAAGACTGGGTAAGTATTCTGAGAATAATAATATTCATTCATAGTTATAATTGGACTGGCTATTACCGTGTGGTTTCACCCGCTCTGCTCGCCTCCTATTAATCGTAGCGTGCGTAGCGCAATGCTATACAGCCTATTATACGTTTTTCAATAGAAGGATTACCTAACACAAAAATAATTATTCACATTTGACCAGTAGTTACACAGATTAGCGCGTTCAAACAAACCTTCAGCTTTTTATAATTAGCGAACAGCTGTTAGCAGCTGTTCGTCCGCGTAGAATAATGACTTCTAGCAGAACTTAAGTTTTTGTATTAGTCTTTTTCAAGTTATACTCTATGACTGTAATAAATTTCAACAGAATCGATTCAGTACTTAAGTTATTGCAGAATAAATATATTTTCAACTAGCTGTGCCCGCGACTTCGTTCGCGTAGAATAGTGACTATGAGCAGCGTTTTTTTTTTTAAATATATACTTATTTTTATTTTAGATTTGGATCATAATCACAGTCATTTTGGGTAGCTAAAAAACCTACTTTACTGTAATGCTTCTCTATATACAATATTAGACGTATGGCCATCGGGGGTAAAAGCATGCAGGCTGCTGGGATTACTAACACGGGACAGAGCCACATACAATTGACCGTGCGAAAAACAGCTGATACTTAGATGTATACCCACAACTTTTAGAGTCTGACCTTGAGCTTTATTAATTGTCATGGCGAAACATAGGCTCACTGGAAACTGAATTCGTTTAAAATTAAACGGAAAATTTTTGGAATGAGAGGAATCTGAGGATTAAAACCACTATCACCTTTTCCGCACCCTGTTAAATATATTATATAAATATTTATAAGCCATTTCTGAGATTAGCGTGAACAGACAAACAGACAAA